GCAACAGCAGCCTCTCACTCCCTCTTTCACCGGATCCAGCCTCAGGCAGGCAGCAAAACAAACTAGTAAGAAAACAAGAGCTTCCAGCCTGTCCAAATATTTCCAGAGCAGCACTTATGCAATCAGTGGAACATTAAGTACTCAAGAACCGCGCTCTGTTGATAGGCAAAAGAACACATTTGAAAGGCGACTCCGTTTGCCAACCAGCTATCAACCAATATGTACACAAGATGTTCCTGTAGCCTCCTATTTGGAAGCTGCCTCGTTTGCTTGTTCCTCTCCTCCCTGAACAGGTTTCATGATAGATTAAGGAGCCCGAAGGTTGGTTGTTTTTAAAAAAAAAAAAAGAAAGAAGAAAGAAAACAAACCAATAAGCAAATGAGAAATTTACACAGGTAACCTCCTCCCGCAGAACTTGCTGGAGAACATCAGCAGGTGTCAGAATTGTGAGGGGATCAGACCTTCAAACATGGATCTATCCTTCCCCAAACTAATGCATTTCGGGGTAGCAGAATCTCAGATCCCTAAGAACAAGAAGCCATTCTGAGCATGGAGGGGAAAAAATGGAGGCAGCATTTGCAGGAAAGAGGCACAAGAATGATCCACTCCCATGTGCTCAAAGCAGGGCTCTCATTCTCTTGCTTTTCAGTTCCAGAGTTGGTGCTATCAGCAGATCCTGAGGTCAAAGGCTGACACAAATTAAGTTACAGGAGGGAAGCTTTATTGTCTTCTGAATCCCGGCTCCCAATTCTGACATCCCTAGTCAACAAATTAATTGATTAGGGCAGCGCCCACCCCCCCCCCAAAAAAAATTTAGGGCACCAGGGACCGATTCCACGGAGAGAGGTTTTCCCTCGGGCCAGAGAGGGGCTTTGCTTGTTTGTGCGGACGGGTTGCTGGCATGCCACGGACCAGTACCGGTCCACGGACCAGGAGTTGGGGACCTCTGGATTAGAAAGTCACATATTTCATAGCGTGATATAGATTGAAAAATTGCAACAATGGATTGAAAGGGCTTCTATTACCATAGTTAAATCTTTAAAATAATGACAGGTGAGACACGTCATTTGGGTCAATCAAGCTATGCTTCAACTACTACCATTGGGAGGGAGAAATCCTGTAGGACCTGTCCTCTAGGCTGCCCCACTTTTAGGGTTCCCCCAAGCCCTCAACCCAGTTCAAATTCAAGTCAGTTTATTGCAGCCATATGGACAGAAACAGTAAAACATCCCATTGCAGGCTACTTATACACACACATACATACATGTATACAAATGCACTGAGCATGATCTACTGTGGAATAAGAACACAAGTAATAACATTAATTTTGAAATAAAAATTATTACAAGGATCTAAAAATAATATTTATCTTATTTATGTTATCCCCTGTGCGGCTGGTCAGAATCCAGCCACCTGCGCCATAATCACAGCCTGTTCATCCTGAAGCAGCCACAGGAGATAAGGAGTGTTGGAACAGCCAGGATACCTATCGATTATTTGGGAGGATATGGTTTTTTTTCTAATATCTCTATATAGAAATAGAATTGAAGAAGTATGTGTCCGATGGTCTCCACCTCTCCTGAAATACAGGAGCAGAGTCTTTCAGCCAATGGTATATTTTTATATTACCGTACAGGACACCATGCCCTCAACCAGTGGAACTCGTGCATTTTAAGCTAGCTGCAGGAAAAGAGAGACAGGTAGGTACACTGGAATAAATCAATTCCAGGTTCCTCGAAGCAAGCCACCCCATCTATTTGCACTGTATGGGAAAGGCCACAGCTCTTTGGAATAGAATTGTTAGAATAAATAATTTGCAATGCAGGCTAGAAACTAAGGAGATCGGGAGTTCTAGTCCCATCTTACGCACAAAGTCAACTGGTGACTTTGGGCCAGTCGCTTTCTCTCAGCCCTAGGAAGCAGGCAAGGACAGGCCACTTTTGAAAAACCTTGCCGAGAAGACTGCGAGGAATAGTCCAGGTGGTCACCAAGAGTTTGGAGACATCTTTCGAACCGTGATTTAATCTCTAACATCCCAGAGAGCTGTCAAATCCTTGGCAGCAGAAAATTAAACATTCTCAGAAAGTCCCCTGTAATCTGATTTACTAAAAGAGAAAAGGGATTAGGTTATGGAAATCTCATTAACTGGAGACTTCTGCTTTAACACCCACAGTTTATCTCTAAGTTTATTAAAGGAAGGGACTTCTAAGCTGTCGTGGTAAAAACTGGTTGATGAACAAAATATGTGGCTATCAGGGAAGGAAGGAAGGAAGGAAGGAAGGAAGGAAGGAAGGAAGGAAGGAAGGGAGGGAGGGAGGGAGGGAGGGAGGGAGGGAGGGAGGGAGGGAGGGAGGAAAAGAAGGAAGGAAGGAAAGAAGAAAAGAGGGAGGGAGGAAAGGAAAGAAGGAAGGAAGAAGGAAAGAGGGAGGAAAAGAAGGAAGGAAAGAAAGAAGAAAAGAGGGAGGGAGGGAGGAAGGAAGGAAGGAAGGAAGGAAGGAAGGAAGGAAGGAAGGAAGGAAGGAAGGAAGGAAGGAAGGAAGATTTCTGAAAAATAATGAAGGAAGAAAACTCCTCCGTAGAACTACAAACTTACTTTAGCTTAATTGGCTGATGAATCCATTATTTTAGAATTTTAGACCATTACAGGATAGAATTTATATTTATATTCTATATTTATATTATAGTCCTCATTTTACTAACCTCAAAAGGATGGAAGACTGAGTCAACCTTGAGCCGGTCAGAATCGAACTGCTGGCAGCTGGCAGTGTTTGCCTCCAATACTGCACTCTAACCACTGCACCACTACGGCTCTTAACAGAATTAGTTGTTTACATTTTGACTGATTTATCATTTGAGACTTGGAATATGCCAGCACAGAAACTAGCAGAGCATAGAAGAGACAAAATTATAAGCCATATGAAGAACAAGCACAAAATAATGAAAAAATAAAGCACAGTTTTCTAAGGTCTTCATTAGCTTTGTAAAGGATTATATTTTCTCCACCAACATCTTCAAGACCAGCAGGTGACTTTCCATTCTTCCATTCCCTACAGATGCATCTGCAATACGCTGAGGGAGAGCAAACCAAGTTCATTTTGACAGGAAACCCCAAAGAAACAAGGTAAGCTCCTCAGAGCTGTGTCAGAACTTGACAAGGTCCCTTTAGTCTAGCAAATCTTTAACAGCTAGCAAGCGTGACAGCAGGTAAACTAAAGATTTTTCTGGCAATTCATTAGATGGATTATGGGCCCGATAAGCAAGTGAACAACGTAAATTACTTGGAACAATCTCCCACCAGGGCTCAGCCAAAGCTGGAGAGAAACACCTTTTTTTTTTTTTTTTTAATTAACATTGCAGACCAGTTAGAGAAGCGACGGTGAAATTCATCATTTTCATAGTGCTTCTGGCTCCCATCAGCCAGGGTGGAGCAATTTGGTTCTTTTTTCTTCTGGTGCTTGTTTTTAATAGGAAGAAGCAGGACGAGCTGTTAAACTCTGCCAGGTTCTAATTGTTGCAGTTGAGAAAACAGATTCTGGAGCCAATAAATCCTAGTTCGTTTTCTTCTATACAAATATTGTGAATCCACGCTGAAGTTTCCACAGGCAGAGCTAAGGGTATTCTGAGACAGGGTCCTCCATCAGTAAAATGTCCTCCCTGCCCCATCTTAAATAACTTCCAGTGAGAAAAGTTGGAGATGAGAAAAAAAAAAACTAACGTGGACCTTCCAGATAAAATATTTGTCTTGCATTCTCTGCATAAAGCGTTAGATATCTTCTCTTAAACATGTTAGACCTGGCCCAGAGAATCACCAAGAGTTGGATATGAATGGATGATAACAGCATGATCAAGATGATCATTACCACCACCACCCAGATTCTACTCATCAATACATCCAGGACGTGTTCCACACTTATGTTCTCTCCATGCTACAATTCCTTTTCAGCAACTGATTTCCATATTTTAACTCCCCTTTCCAATCATTTTTCACAGGGGTCAGTTTAATTCTTCTACTACGTGACCTTTGTTCAAATGCAGAAGAGGTTTTTCCTTTAACAACTTCAATCAAATGCATAATTTAGCATTTTTGTACAACGACTAACTTCACCCCTCTGGTTTGGTTGGTACCCTCTGCTTTTTTCTGTGTATTTACTGGAAGTAATATAGTGTGGTAAAACATTCTTTATAAAGAACACTATTACTTAATGTGATTTTATCTCTACTTGGATTCAATACTAAGTTCTTTGAATTTCTTACAGCACTGTCTGGAATGCCTTCTGTTGTGGCATATATTTTTTTTCAAATAGTTTGGAGTGTTTTTTCTTATGTAACATACCCTTTTTTATATCCAAATACTTGCTACATGGTTTGATTGGGTTCTCCCTATTCCAAAGGTCAGAGTTCTTTTTTTCCCTCCAAACCTAAAGTATTTAGCAGATTTATGACAGCTATTACTGCCTCATCCTAATATTTTTCCTGCTAGGGTATCTACGTATGTTCTGGTTTGTTTTGTTTTTGCACTGGATTTTCCATGAGGTTTCAAACAGCATTTAATTCTTCCAGCAAAATCAACACATTCCTGCCTTTGTTAAAAATGGCTGGCATTAAAAAGGATTATATGTCATGCTTATGAATTCTTGTATATTTTTCAAATCCTTAACCTTTACTTCAGGATAGGATAGGAAATAGAATGTAGAATAGAGTATGAAATAGAATAGAATAGGGAAAGAATGGAATGGAATAGAATAGAATAGAATAGAATAGAATAGAATAGAATAGAATAGAATAGAAAATATGGAATGGAATGAATGGAAGAGAAGAGAAGAGAAGAGAAGAGAAGAGAAGAGAAGAGAAGAGAAGAGAAGAGAAAAAGAGGAGAGGAGAGATAGAATAGAATAGAGTAGAATAGGAATAGAATAGAGTAGAGTAGAGTAGAGTAGAGTAGAGTAGAGTAGAGTAGAGTAGAGTAGAATAGAATAGAGTAGAATAGAGTAGAATAGGAATAGAATAGAATAGAATAGAATAGAATAGGTTTCATTTGGCCAAGAGTGATTAGCCACACAAGGAATTTGTCTATGGTGCATAAGCTCTCAGTGTACATGCAAAACAACAGAGTAATAATATTCATAATAATGATACCAATAATAGGAGGTAGTAAAGAAGACGAGAAGGATAATAATAATACTACAGCCATACTACATGGGTAAATCTACTTGGACATAACACAGTACTATGGGGATTAGGTGTTCAGCAGAATGATGGTATGCGGAAAACCTGTCTCTATGTCTAGTTGTTTTGGCATGCAATGCTCTATGGCGGCGTCATGAGGGGAGGAGTGTGAAACCGGTTATGTCCAGGATGTGATGGGTTTGTAGATATTTTCTCAGCCCTCTTTCTGACCCATAATATATAGGTCTTCATTGGAAGGCAGGCTGGTTGCAACTGTTTTTTTTTGTTTGTTTGTTTGTTTGTTTGTTTGTTTTGCAGTGCTAACTATCTGTTGAAGTCTGTACCTCTCCTATTTGGTCGCTGTACAAAACAGTTATATAAAGTAGGTGAATATTATTCTTGGATAATGATCAATAAAAGCCATTGTGTATATGCTCCTGGAAAGCCTTATGTTTTCACAGATCGGTCGACACCAAGAACACTGAACACTGTTTTGATTTAGATGAAACAACGGTTGTGTAAGTTAGCTTGCCATTGAGAACTAATTCATTTCAAAACATCTGCCTCTGTTGAGAGCCTTTGTTGGCTGCTGTCTCCATCATTCCAGCATGTGGTCCAGAAGGTCACATCTTTCGCCATAGGGCCACGTGTGGATTCATTCATTGTGTGGCTTATTTGGAGAGATCACTCTTTTCTTTCGTGGCAGACAGTCGCTACACATCTAGAGGGCAGATCTTCCTGGGCTCTGGCAATGACTCCTGACTGGTTCGCTTGTCATCTTTAAACAGAACCATAAATCTCGCTCACAAAAGGTAAATGTGGAACACACAAGACCTTAATCAATTTCAAGGGTCTCGTTTGCATTGCTTCCTTGCCCACACCAATTCCTGAAGCATTAACAGCCTCTCCTTTGTTGTTACATCAGTTGTTTAAAGGAAGACTTCTCCGCCTTCTAGCCAGAGAGTCGACTCACAAGCCTTTTGAAACACTGGTCTCTCCAAGCATTAAACGTTTCATGTCACAGGTGAGTCTCACTTGGGCCTGTTGCTTTAGCTCTTTCTCTATCAACCTAAGAATTTCTTAAGAATTGCTCCACTTTCCCTGTCCGTTTTCTTAGGACTCAACTCATAATCATAGTCGTAAGTGTGGGAAATGGCCGTATGGTACTTTTTTCAGTGATGGTGTCACGAAGTGAACTGTCGCAAGTCACGGACTGCCTGTATAGTCCTCCTAATTTCTGGCCTGTGCAACTTATCTGCAAACTCTGATGCTGCTTTCTTCATTATTTCCTCTCATAATTTCCATTCTGCTTTGAAACTCTGGCAAAAGCGTTTCCTAGAGAATGGGTTCACGGTGGCCCATCATTTGTAAGAGGTTTATACGGTTCAGCCTCTTATCGGAGAGCAGAAGAGTTCTACCCTTCTCTGTGCTCTGCAGTTAAGTCACTAAATTTGTTTATTCTTGCTGTGATGAAGGTAGGAAGGTATTTCTTTATTTCCTCTATGATGTCGTTAGCTTTCTTCTTCCCTTTTTTCCTTTTTTTTTCCTTTCACGTTTTAATCCTTCCTATTCTCTTTTCTTTCTTTGAGTTCAGGGTGTATTAGATCAGAGGTCTCCAACTTTTCTCGATTGGCGGACTGGACGGAAAGCGAGCGGGCAGTATTTTACACACACACACACGTGTGCACATACACAAATGGAGCTGCGGGCATGTGCGACACAAATGGGGCAGTGATCACGCCGACGTGACACCCCGTTTTCACGTGGTGCCCTGTTTTCACCAGGCGACGCCCTGTTTGTGTAACAGTGATGGCGCTAGTGCAAGTTGAGGGTGAGCACATACACACACATGCGTGCACTGGCCAGTCTGTTTTGCATCCTGCTGGCTAGCAGGTCATGGCCCGGTGATGGGCCGCGACCCACAGGTTGGGGATCCCTGTATTAGGTTTTACTATTATTAATAAAAAAAATAATCTATATATAAACACAGAGAGACAAAAATGCACAAATGCACATAGCACACACGTGCAATTTAATTCAGCTCAGGGGCCGTCAGTCCTTTTCCTGCATCCCTCCCTCAGCCTCACCATCTGCACACCAAATAAATAATGCAAATTGACGTTTTATGTATTTAGTTACTTTGAAAATTAGATCTTAAAATGGATTCTGCACGTATCTGGTGGACTGCTTCGCAAGAGATGTTAAGAGTTACTTCCTGTCAAGAGAGCAATAGAGATGGAGGTTAAGACTAAGCAGCAAATAGACAAAATGGAATACCAGCCATGGGAGAATGTTAATGAATTAGGCAGGTGCATATCACTTCTAAATCTGACAACAGAATTCCCCATTTCATCTCTGGCTCCTAAACCTTGACTACATATGGTCTATGAGTACAAAAAGCAAACTTAGATTGTCTAGACATTGACATGGCCAGTTTGTAGATCTATGGAGTCTTTGGTGTGGCCAGTTGGTAGATCTATGGAGTCTTTGAGCTTGGTTGTTTCTTGCAAATATTTCATTACTCAACTAGACAATATCATCCATGCGAGAAGGAAGTGGGGTGTATGGAGAGAAGGAGGAGGAGGACTGAGTAGTCCTTGGTGGTCTCTGAACTTGGTTGTTTTCTCGCAGAGGTTTTATTACTAAACTAAGAAACACTATCAGTGCTAGTAAAAGGGAGTAGAGTTTGCTATCATTTAAAATTTAAACTTAGCCTTTAAAATTTACTCTTAGCATTTAAAATTCAATCTTAGCCTTTAAAATTTAAACTTAGCCTTTAAAATTTACTCTTAGCATTTAAAATGAGAACAGATTCTACTCCCTTACTAGCACTGATGATGTTACCGAGTTTGGTAATGAAACATCTGCAGGAAAATAACTGAGCTCAAAGAGCATCAAGGACTCCGTACTTCAACCCTGAGATACAGATATTCTAGTCGGTCGGTTTTAGATCTGGTAAATGCTTCGCAGGATCTCCAAAGAAGACAGTGACAGGTCCCATGAATACGATTGCCAAGAAAGGAAGATAAGACATTCTCGTGAAGTTATGAGGGGGTCAGCTGATGATGTTACCTAGTTGGGTAATGAAACATCTGCAAGAAAACAAGCAAACTCAGAGAGCACCCAGGACCCCTCACGTCTACCCTGTGCTACCAATATTCTACTCCATTGGTATCATGAAGTTATGCTTGACTTAAAGAGGACTTCACTTATTTCATGGATGCTTTGCTTTTAGGTATGCTTTGACTTAAGAAAAAAGGCATTCCTTCCATGTTGGGGCTACCTGAAACAGCAAGAATTTTGGGAACAAAGGTCAGCAATGTTTTTTTTTAAATACAACATATCATCACAAACAAGATCTAATTACTTCCTAACTTGCAACTCAAGGGGCAATTTGCTACACATCCCACACCATAAACGCTGCTGACATAAACTTGCCCGCATTTTGCTTAATGTTTCTAAGGCAGCTCTACTTCATTAATATACGCTTCTAATTTTATGCACTCTTGTTTGATTCATTAACCCCTGGATAAAATGAATGAGCTGTTGATTTAGGGATACTGTTCATGAGATGCTGGGAAGTTATGGATCACCTCCTTCCAATCATCCTTTTTTTTATTATTATCAATCTTTTGGCCCCTCCCTTATTCCAAAGCTACAACAGCAAATGCTAGCAAATTATATGGCATGGTCAGGGAGCTATTATATGCCCTACCTTTACCATCAAGAGTCTAGAACCATAGAACATAGAATAATAGAGCTGGAAGGGACCTTGGAAGTCTTCTAGTCCAGCCTCCCTTTTCGAGCAGGACACCCTAGACCGGGGTAGGCAACCTTGGCTCTTTTATGACTCGTGGACTTCAACTCTGGCTCAGGAATTCTGGGAGTTGAAGTCCACGAGTCATAAAAGAGCCAAGGTTGCCTACCCCTGCCCTAACCATTCAAGACAAATGTTTGTCCAGTCTCTTCTTGAAAGCCTCCAGTGATGGAGCACCCACAACTTCTGAGGGCAAGCTGTTCCACTAGTTGATTGCTCTACCCACTAGGAAATTTCTCCTTCATTCCAGGTTGCTTCTCTCCTTAACTGGTTTCCATCCATTGTTTCTTATCTTGACTTTTGGTGCTTTGGAAAATAGTTTGACACCCTTGTCTATGTAGGAGCCCCTCAGATATTGGAACAGTGCTGTCATGTCTCCCCTAGTCCTTCTTTTCATTAGACTAGACATACCCAATTCCTGCAACCGTTCTTCGTATAAAACATGGAGCAAATGTGAAAGAATAGCCCTAGAGGCAAGTTTCCTGGAATTTTTTCCCCCAGTTTTTCAATTCATCCACAGGCTATGAAGGACATGGAGCACTTTCCAGTCAAGGTTAAGATCCATTAAACAAACATAAAGACAAAACAATTATAGACTTGATTACCACAGTATATATCACCCTTACTGGTGCTACTTTATGGGGCCTTTCTGGATCACGAGATAGGAACAGAATAACCAAAACCACACTTCCTATTCATGGGGAGAAAATAGAAATCTTTCTTTTACTTCCATGGAAAAAAGAAATATATATACTCCCAGGAATACAAATAAAGGTAAAACAATGCTGTTATTTTATCTTTAGAATAGAAGATAAGAAGAAAGAAAGAATCGGTAGGAACATCAGTACTATAAATGCAGAAGTCTTCGATTAAGTATTGTGTTGCGGCCTCTTGCAATTAAATATTTTAGTATAACAGTGACAGAATCAAACAATGAATTTTTTTTTGCTTCTCTTTTGCATTTCTTTAGAAGCTATTTGTCTCAAGCTGACCAGGAATGATTGAGGATAGGAAATGGGTTTTTGTAATTTTTTTTTCCTTTTCTATCAGTCTTGTTTGTTTGTTCTTTTAAGCACGCAAGTAAAGTGTGTAAATGTCCCAGCATGAGGACAAGCCTGAAAAAAAAAATGAGTTATGCAAAGTAGCACTCCAGGTTCCATCTAAACTGCCGATTTCTCTTATGATATGTGAGAAAATTAAACTGAGTCTTCCTCAGATGATATTTTTTTTAAAAAAAAAAAAAGAGTAAAGGAATCCAGGTATTTTTTTTTCTACCATTTTACTGTCCCTCAATAAGAGTTTGTCTGAGGCACTAGAAATGTTTACAGCTGAGCCAATAGGTGTATTAATGTTATCTAATACATAAAACAAACTGCATAGATTTAAAGAATTCGATTAAGAATAGCTGCTTGACAGCCCGTGTGGTCGCAACATGAACTTTATTAAAATATCACGAAGCCACAAAATGGTATTTCAACTGGCTTTGGCCACACTTCTGTTGTAATGTTGTGGTCACTTTTGCCAATTCTTACCAGAGTCTTGCCCGCAAAGCTGTAAGAACCAATCTCTGTAAGACGAATAAATCAGTAACTTCTGATCAACTTCTTAGATTATAAGTATGAGAGACATCAAGAGCTGAAGAAGCTTTTGGGATGAGAAGTGAAACGTTTTTGAAAGAAAACACCAAGAAAGTCCAGTTGTCTTTTGGAAAAAAGCATTTTGGGACAACCACGAACTGGATCATTGAGAATCTCCAAAGACACGAGAGACACCAAGGATATGATGTCTTGAGATGACCTATTTCTGAGGCTCAGTGAAACAACTCCAGCGTGGACCACAACACCCATGGTGCCCAACTGTGGACCAAGACTCCACATTTCCTCATTTTCTAAAAGAGAACTGTGTTATTCTCTCTACTTTTCAAGCAACATTCAGTCATGAGATGATTCTTTGCCTAACGTCACCTTAAGAAATTTGCCCACAAAATATGGTTGAGGGAAGAAGCTTCTCTATTCAGAGCAATATGTTTAATGTTGCAAGTTGGGGTGCAAAAGTCAACTGCTGGTGGGAAAAATGTCCACTTCTAAAGAGGGATCAAAGCAATCGGAGACTGCGTTGGCTTTTTTGGTGGCTACAACATCTCCTCTGAAAAGTTCTCAGTGCTCCTTCTACTTCGCAGTTCTTTACTATAGCATGCAATTTACTAACATTTAACCGTAAAAGTTGATAACTAAATTTTATATTTCATCTTGCTCAAAACCATCTATATTTAATTAAGTAACAGTCTGTTTATATTACACACATGAAAATGTTGAAATTCATACATATGTACAACTAACTGATCATGTGAAATTATGCTATTATTAATACTTGTTTTGCAAATATTCTGTTTGCCACTATAGGTGGGCTGTTTTGCCAAATGAGTCATAATAATTATTTTTGCCAGTTTATTAATAGGTGTTAGGTAGATTCTAAATGTTAAGCGGATACAGAGGATTTTTTTTAAAAAAAAAAAAAGTTGTCAACACAATCTTGATTAGTATTGTTACTTTTCTGAACCATCCACAAATGGAATGAATAAAATACGATACCCCCTATTTTAAGTAAATAGTTTATTAAGCTTAACTTTTAAAAGATCACTCAAATATAATGTGAGCACCAGAAGTATTTTGCAATAATTTTCTCAGTGGACATTTATTAATTTCCTTAATAAATAATAATTTATTGATCAGAAGTAATACTTTTGATTTGTTTAAAAACAACACCAGAATTACAGCTAGAAACCAAATAAAACTTCAGAGGAGACTCATCAAAGTTGCCAAAAGACGCAACTGCTCTAATGCACTACAGAGCAATGCTGTGTCTGCACAATACTGTTCATGAAACAATTGTTTTGACAAATTGCACAGCGCTCCTTTGTATTCTGACACAACAACTCCATATACAAGCCAGCCTCAATTATTGAAGTCTTGTGATTATTTAGAAACTTTAAATGACTATGCCCAGAGAGATGAACGGGGTCCTAATATATAAAGGTATTGAAAGTGCTGAATTAAAGCAGTCATTAGCAAGAAATGCCACAATATTACTTTTCACGCTGAAATTGCAGGCCTGTTATTGCCTTCATGCTCAGACATGTGGAACTTATCTGAGGTAACCTGATGCTTGCAAATGACTAATTAGCTGAAATTTAAAAAGGCAGATAGAAAAGCAACTGGGGATAATAAAAAAAAAAATTGTCCTGAAGCAATATCAGATACTATTTTTGCAGTTCTTAATTTTTCTCCCTTCCTTTCTTCATCGTTGAAAAATATAAACCTATTATGCTTTTCACTTTCGGGTAAGCAAAATTATGCCAAGAATGAGAAAAGAGCCAGACAGAAAAAGACAAAGAATTTAAGGAAACATAGCTAAATGTATTTTACATCAACACCTTTCCACTGTTTTTCTCCAAGCCTTTCTACCTTTGCAGATCATCCTTAATTCTATCACCTCCGTGCATCTCTTCCTCCATTTAAAAAATATTATTTCGACGCAGATTTTAAAAGCTGAGCCAAGATCTGTAATTTTTTTAACCGAGTCAGTCCCGATCACTAGAAATGCCGGGCTGATCTGACCACTCAGGAAAGGAAGAAATAAATGTTTTCATTCAAGCCAACCTTTTTCCTCAATCTCCTCTGGAGCCCTTCAGGGTCAGCAAACACAGAAAGCACCGGTGATTTGGTTAAACAAGGTTAAAAAAGAATTAGGAGCAACTCTGCCTGCCTGCTTCTGCTCCATTATATTTTACTTTCCTTAAGTTTAATCTCAGCATTCCTGTCCGGTTTATCATTGCCAGCCTGGCCTCGTTTAGACAAAACGTGGAGCTAATCAACATTCGCAGCTAATGTTTATGCAAGGTTTGGCCATGGCTACCAAATGGCAGAGAAATATATTTTTCTAGGAGAAAAAAAAAAAAAAAAACCTATGAGGCCACACGGACTCTTAACACCGACACAGGTCTAAAAGCAAAGTCCCGTTTCCTATGTAAGAAGAGCAAACTGGAACAAAATGCAGGAAGACATTTGTTAAGCGGGTTTTGCCCCACTTTACGACGAATCCCTGCCGTTCTTAAATTGGTTGTTAAGCGAGTCTGACTTCTCCGTTGACTTTTGCTTGTCAGAAGGTCGCAAAAGGAGGATAATGTGACCCTGGGACACTGCAATCGTCGTAAGTATGAACCAGTGGCCAAGCGTCTGAATTTGGATCACATGATCATGGGGTTGCTGGAAAGATCGTAGCTGTGAAAAAACGGCCCTAATTCACTTTATTCAGTGCTGCTGTAAATTTTGAACGGTCAATATCTTCTTGATATAATTTTCTACAAACGCCAAGGCAATACGCCGGCTAAAAGTTTCCATGCCGTCTCCTTCAGGCCTCACCCGTTTTTCCTACTGGCCCTGGTGATGAGGAAATTTAACAAGCAGAACATTAAATGGGCAAATAATTACCTTTTAACTCTTGGAAGAGGCCAACGTCAATTAACACACCGGAGCTCTTAACAAACAGAGAGGAGGAGGAGAAGGAGGAGGAGGGGGTGGAAAGTCAGAGCAATTCCTGCAGTCTTCAAGGCCGTTCCTAACAGGAGGAAAAATCAAAAAGCCGGGGGAAAATAGTTAATTTCTGTAACACTGATGGAGAGAAGATGGTTAAACCCCCCCCACCCAAACATGAAAAGAACAAACAAGATGTAGTCAGGATATTTAATCTTTCATTATGAAAAACACATGCATTTCTTCCTTACAGGCTGAAATGCTGAAATACATTGCTATCGTGTCACCCCTAGTCCTTCTTTCCATGCAAATAAGCATAAAACATTGCAAATTCAAGCTGTTTTGCACTCTTCCATGAAATAGACTTCAAAGGGAGGAAATCCTCAATGAAAGTTTGCGAAGGAAGGGAAGGGAAGGGAAGGGAAGGGAAGGGAAGGGAAGGGAAGGAAAGGAAAGGAAAGGAAAGGAAAGGAAAGGAAAGGAAAGGAAAGGAAAGGAAGGGAAAAAGTTTGCGAAGGAAGGGAAGGGAAAGGAAAGGAAAGGAAAGGAAAGGAAAGGAAAGGAAAGGAAGGGAAGGGAAGGAAAGGGAAGGAAATGAAGGGAAGGGAAGGAAAGGAAATGAAGGGAAGGGAAGGGAAGGGAAAGAAAGGGAAGGGAAGGGAAGGGAAGGAAAGGAAAGGAAAGGAAAGGAAGAGAAGGGAAAAAGTTTGCGAAGGAAGGGAAGGGAAAGGAAAGGAAAGGAAGGGAAGGGAAAAAGTTTGCGAAGGAAGGGAAGGGAAAGGAAAGGAAAGGAAAGGAAGGGAAGGAAAGGAAGGGAAGGGAAGGGAAGGGAAGGGAAGGAAAGGAAGGGAAGGGAAAAAGTTTGCGAAGGAAGGGAAGGGAAAGGAAAGGAAAGGAAAGGAAGGGAAGGGAAGGGAAGGGAAGGAAAAAAGTTTGCGAAGGAAGGGAAGGGAAAGGAAAGGAAAGGAAGGGAAGGGAAGGAAAGGGAAGGAAATGAAGGGAAGGGAAGGGAAGGGAAAGAAAGGGAAGGGAAGGGAAGGGAAGGGAAGGGAAGGAAAGGAAAGGAAAGGAAAGGAAGAGAAGGGAAAAAGTTTGCGAAGGAAGGGAAGGGAAAGGAAAGGAAAGGAAGGGAAGGGAAAAAGTTTGCGAAGGAAGGGAAGGGAAAGGAAAGGAAAGGAAAGGAAGGGAAGGAAAGGAAGGGAAGGGAAGGGAAGGGAAGGAAAGGAAGGGAAGGGAAAAAGTTTGCGAAGGAAGGGAAGGGAAAGGAAAGGAAAGGAAAGGAAGGGAAGGGAAGGGAAGGGAAGGAAAAAAGTTTGCGAAGGAAGGGAAGGGAAAGGAAAGGAAAGGAAGGGAAGGGAAGGGAAGGAAGGGAAGGGAAGGAAAGGAAAGGAAAGGAAAGGAAAGGGGAGGGGAGGGGAGGGGAGGGGAGGGGAGGGAAGGAAAGGAGAAAGGAAAGGAAAGGAAAGGAAAGGAAAGGAAAGATGTTTAGGAATAAACTACAGTTGCAAGGAAGAAATGACAGCACTCAAAGCCAACCGAAGAGAAACAAAATCACATTTCAACTGACTTAATCTTAATATAAACAAATAAAATCTGATACAAATGTACAGAAGGGCAAAACTTTCTCCTGCATCTGTGAAAACAGGACACTTGTGAACTTTTGTGGAATGTACACAAGGTAGATTTGGAAACATTGGGAGTTGAGAGAGGGAGGAAGAAAAATGGCACCAATGGGGAGATTTAATAAGGGCCTGGATTAGAGGGAAAGAAACAGGACATCAGTCAGGAATGGAGAAACTGTGGTTTTTTTGGTTATCTTACTGCACAACATTGCATTTAGTGACTGTTCAAAGTTACAATAGCACTGGAAAAAAGTGGTTTGTGACCATTTTTCACACTTACGACCGTTGCAGCATCCCCATGGTCATGGGATCAAAATTCAGAGGCTTGGCAACTGGCATGTCCTTATGACAGTTTCAGCGTCCCGGGTGCGTGTGTGTGTGTGTGTGTCATGTGATCGCCTTCTGCCACCTTCTGACAAGCAAAATCAATGGGGAAGCCAGATTCACTTAACAACCGGGTTGTTAATGCAACAACCGCCGTGATTCCAATGCAGATTTTCTGCCTTTTGCCAGAAAAGTGGCAAAACAGGGCAAAGCTCACTTTAAAAATGTCTCACTTAGCAACGTGCATTTTGGGGCTCAGTTGTAGTCGTAAGTCGAGGGTTACTTGTAATATAATCAGCCACGTACAGCTTAAAATTCCTGGCAGCTGATATTAGCAACCTCCAAACAGCTGTCATTGCATCCTTCATTTGAAGAAATGATTATATCCAAATCCCTTCTCCAGGAAGGAAAAAAAACAACAACGCTGCAAAGCATTGTATTCTACTTTCTTTTTTACAACTTTTCCTAAATAATATTAAACAATCTAACAAAAAAAGTGATTTTTTTTTAAAAAACAAAACAAAACATAAACATTCCGGGGCTGATTTTAAACTCTGTTATAGTTGCAAGCATCACAGCGCAAACTCTGTTTTTTTTTTTTTTTTGCATGCCTGCTTGCAACATTGCAATGCAACTATGAAATTATAAGCTCATCGTGGTTGGAAAAAGATATCTATGGCTATACAGGGAGTCCTCGAGTTACAACCACAGCTGAGCCAAAATCATTTGGTTGTTAAGCGAGACAGTTGCTAAGTTTTGCCCCATTTTACGGCCTGTCTTGCCATGAAGTGAATCGCCCTGAAGGAATTGCACAGCAATTGTCCGGGTGAAGTAGGAGACCCTGACACAAACTTGTAGTTCCTTTGCATAAATAAATATAGTTTCTTTATATAAAGTTGAAGTCCGCACACCTTAAACTTGCCAAGGTTGGGAAACACGGGTGCATTAGAACACTTATTTAAATCTTTCATTTAAATTTAACTTTTAAATGGACAGTAGCTTTTGTCGCCATCCACAGGAACCTCATGAGGTAAATCGAAACTGAATACAGAACACACCCCAAAAAGGCGGGAAAAAAAGGAAACGCCCCCCTCCACCGACAGCAACCAACCACAGCAGGAGCCAGCACTCTGCAGCCAATCAGCTACAACCTGTTGTACACTTTACCCTTCCCGCTACTCAATTCAATATCCTAACAATCACAACAGAACACAATTCATTTTGTTTCTACTTGGAAACTTCTTCTGGGCTCTGTGACCCAGGTGGAAAAAAAAATGAAACTTTGGTTTTAGGTGTTGCAGATTAGGTTAGGTTATATGCATTTATTTTTTTTAAAAAGTGATTCCTTGGAAGCGGATAAAAATTTTAGATTCATTGGAAGCTGATCAAACTAACATCAGTAAATATACAGTAGGAAGACTAAGCAGGCATGCAGAAGGAAGCAATGCAGTAATTCAAATCCAAACAAGTGGCCATAGGAAGCTGAGATAATCTTTTAGAAGACAAGCAAAATCTATATAAGGGAACGACATATTTTTTTTTTACAAAGCTCTATTTTCTAATAAAAAGAAAGCATTGCACTGTTTTAACTACCTTTCAGAGTGTGTTAACTTAGTTCATCAGCAATAAATTACTGGAACCTTTGACGATGTGGTCTCAATTATGCTACAGGAGAGGCCTGTTAGAACAGAGTCCTAGATAATGTAAATTATAGTATAGTGTAGTAAATTTACAGCTGCGGGGGCTGTAAATGGGCTCAGCTTTTCCCCAGGTGTAATTTTCCAGGCTCAATTCAAGGTGATGCTTGTCGCCTTCGTGGCTTGGGACCAGCTTACCTGAGGGACACTTTTTTCTCCCAGTCCAAATTTTTTCTACCCATCCAATCCAGTCAGACAGGATGAGCATGTTCTAAGCACCATCAGCCAAGCAATGTTAGCTGGTGGGAACTAGGGAGACGTGCCTTTTCTAACGTAGCACCTACCCATCCACCTCCAGAGGTTAGGATGATCCAGGTTCTGTTGGGCTTTTGGAAGGCCTTGGAAGGCCTTCCAAGTGTGTACAAAGGACCCTGTTTCCTGGTTATGTTGACCCTGGTTGATTAGTATCTCTTAGTTGCTCCTGCATTTAATTTCTTTCTCTTACTTTGACTGTTTTAACTCTTTTTATAATTGTTCACTCTCCAGAGTCACTGTTTGGGAAAGAAAGAAAGAAAGAAAGAAAGAAAGAAAGAAAGAAAGAAAGAAAGAAAGAAAGAAAGAAAGAAAGAAAGAAAGAAAGAAAGAAAGAAAGAAAGAAAGAAAGAAAGAAATGAGAGAGAAATAAAAAAGAGAAAGAGAAAGAAAGAAAGAAAGAAAGAAAGAAAGAAAGAAAGAAAGAAAGAAAGAGAAAAAGAAAGAAATGAAAGAAACAAAAAAGAGAAAGAAGAAAGAAAAAGAGAAAAAGAAAAAGAAAGAAAAGGACAGAAAGAGGGAGAAGAAAAAGGAAGAGAGAAATAGAAAGAAATAAGAGAAAGAAGTAAAAAGAAAGAGAGAGAGAGAGAGAGAGAGAGAGAGAGAGAGAGAAAGAAAGAAAGAAAGAAAGAAAGAAAGAAAGAAAGAAAGAAAGAAAGAAAGAAAGAAAGAAAGAAAGAAAGAAAGACAAAGCAAGCAAGCATTTAGGAAGAACATTTTTTTGGCATGGAAGTTTCCACCATCTTTCAACAATTCTAACTTTGAGCAAACCACACAGATTACCTGCAACATACAGAGGCTGAACATAGCTGCAAAAAGCAGCTTTTGGTCTGTGACAACTCTTACTGTTTGTGCAACCGCCTGCTTTTGTCAAGACTCAACTGTCATCTCCTGCTGTTTTAACAGGAGTTTTGGGTTGTCTGACAGAACTCTCTCTCTCTCTCTCTCCATGCCTTGCAATTACTGTTACCTTTATCTGCCCATCAGGAAAAAAAAAATGGGAGATAACTTCCAAGCTTCTTACACACACACATACACAGAGAGAGACAGACAGACAGACACACACCGGAAACATTTTGCATTTTAAAGCCAACCATGGCTTCATACTTATCTCTCCCATATGATCAAAGTCCATATTTTCTAACAAAGCCAGCAAGGGAGGACTTTAATACACTGTGATTCATTACAGC